ATTCCGAGACTATCTACCTGGAGATAGCATCAGATTCCACAGGGTGAGGGCTCACTGCCCCAAAACTCCCCCCGCCCCCCAGACACCAGTTGCAAATCTGGGCCTCCAGAACTTCTGACCGACTGGCTTCAAACTGAGGTTCCCACAACCCTCTCTTTGGGTTTGATTAATCTGTTAGAGCAGCTCACAGAACTCAGGGAAAGAAACACTCATTTATGTTTAGCAGTTTATTATAAAGGATATTACAAAGGATACAGATGAAGAGATGCACCGGGTGAAGAAAGGGGGAAGGGGCACGGAGCTTCCATGCCCTCCCCGGGTGCACCACCCTCCAGGAACCTCCGTATGTTCAGCCACCCTGAAGCTCTCCTAACTAGTCCTTTTGGGCCTTTCGTTGGATAGGCACGATTGACAACTGTGTAGAAATGTGATTAGACAAAAAGGGTATGATTTAATACTAACAGATTGAGTGGGGCAACCCAACAAGACCTGTCTGTTTAGATTCTTCTTGGCCTCTCTGTGCAGCATTCCTTTCTCCAGAGTATGGGGCAGGACCCTTTCTGGAATAAGGGTCTTATGACCCACTGTCAGAAAGGTGGGGAAGTTTAGAGTCCTGCCTTGGGCAGATGAAAGGAGAGCAGGAGGTCAGAGAGACATTCTGTTTCCTGAGGCCTGCTTCTGAGGTCTGAAGTGCCCCAACATAGTAACAAAAGACCGTAACAAGGGCTACAGGAGTTATGAACCAGGAACTGTGGACAAAAATACATAGCATAATATCACACCTCCTAATTGATATCGTTTTTCCCTTTGCCTCCCCGTAGCATTTCTCTGCACAGTAAGTAGCCAGTGTGATTTTGTTAAAATATACAGTTGAGATCATGTCTCTCCTCTGCTTGAAACTCTCAATAGCTTCCCATCACAGACAGATAAAAACATCTTCACCATGGCCTAGAAGACCCCTTGTAACCTAGATCCTTGTTTTCTGACCTTAGCTCCCAGGACTCTGCTCCAGCCACATGGTCCTCCTCCAGTTCTCAAACACGCCAGGACAGTGCCTATCTGAGGGCCTTGGCACTCGCCATTCTCTCTGCCTGGAGTGATCCCTCTCCAAATGCAAGCATGACTTGCTCCCTGTCTTCTTTCAACTCTTTCACTTAAGTGTCACGTTCTCAGGGAGGTCTTCCTTGGCTTTTTTCTGAAGTTTAAACTCTGCCCCTCTCCCCGCCCCCCTGCCATCACTCCTCATCCTTTTTCCCTATTTTTTTCTCTGTAGCATCCACACTTACTTACCATACTAGGTATTATACATATTTCTTTTGCTAGGCATTGGGATTTGGTAGACCTTCAAGGGTCTCTGTGACATGTTGGATGGTCCGATGACCTGCTAGCTCCTTGCCCTGAAATGTTTCCTCTCTGCCTGATTGAAGCTTTTGAAATTCCTTTGACTCACTAATCAATTTCACTCTTAATTGGGGGAAGAGAAGTCTGGTTCAATAATGCCATGGGTCCTACTTCTCCTGACATTGGATCTATGCTGAGATTTTGCTTTGTTCTCCTTTCAAATTCCTATTTTGTAACCTGGTTCCAATACCTATGCTCCTGTTACCTTCCCTGGCCAAGTCTCTAGCTCGTGTCTGAAATCTCAAGTTGCTGGAAGGGAATTTAGAGATAATTTTTGGCCCACTGGTCATTTTGTTGATGAAGAAACTGAGGTGCAGGGGCAGGAAGGAACTTGTTCAAGGTCATATTCTATATTAAGTTCATTCATGAATTCACTCAACATACACTGTGTGCCAGGCGTTTTGCTAGGTACTGGATAAAGAAGCATGACTAACACACAGTTCCTCCCAGTCTTGAGAACTTCACAGTCCAAAGGACCATTTATATCACAGATAATTATAAGATTGCATTAAAAAATATCAGTGATAGAGAGATGGTCGGTGGTCAGAACAGGGAATTGAACCAACACGAAGAAGGTGAGAAAAGCAGAGAGAGGAGAGAGCAAGGAGAGAGGATCAGGGCTGAAGCTCCACGTCCATTTAAACCCCGCAGCAATTGTAAAGGGCCAATCACTCATCCATTCAACCAAAATATACTAGATGGCTACTATGTTCAAACCATTATGCCTTGCTTTGAAGATACGAAAGATATTTGGTGTTTTACAAAAGCTCTTTGGTAACACAGTTGGTATCCTAAAGACCAAATGAAGTCATGGACTTCTAAGGTTGGCCAGCAACTTTCCAAACTCAAGTCCCTGACCAGTTAAACCACCCAATTTCAAAGCAATGGATATTTGTATCACTGTTCCCTCTCTCTCCCTCAGGGGACACAGCAAGCTAAGATTACTGTTGTATGAACTGGCTGTGATGTTGAGCCACCAGATTAGAGGCTTCATATTGTCAAACCTGGCACATGTTTCACCTTCAGAGTGCCGCGATGTCCTTGGAATGGGCAGGTGATATTTGTTCTGACACAAGTCACTTAGCCAACCAGCTCCAAGGAGAGCTAGCAGGTGCTGGGTCCTTTAACCTTTCAGGACACAGCCTTGGCCTTTCATGGTCACTTAATCAGGAGTTGGCGAGCGGCTGCACAAGGATACATTCTGGAAGAAACTGATGGTCAGAGTGGAGTGGGGGCACAGGGCCCAGTGCCCGGGCCCATCCTGGCAGGGGGCTTGTGTGTCACACCTAGTTTCTGGCTACTTTCTGATAACAGACAGAGGCAAACACAAGATACCATAAACTCCGCAAATAAATGATCTCTCCTTTGTGGGCCTGTGTACTCCCCCTGGGAGACTGTTTTATGTTTTCCTGTAAGGAAGGGTTGGGATATAGTGGAGTTGCTTTTATACCTACATTCAACACATGTAGGAGCTTTGGCACTTCACCCTCTACCCCATTCCTCCCTCAGTATTTTAAGGAAACTCTGCCCATAGGTTTAGCAAGGCGGGGATTAAGAATTAGTTATTGGATTTAGCTATTTGGTCATTGGTGACCTTGACAACAGTAGTTTCAGTAGAGTGGTCGGGGCCAAAACTGGTCGGAATAGGTTCAAGAGATCATAGGCCATTCTTCTGAGGAGCACAAATGGAGCAGAGAATTGGAATACACCTGGAGGAAGATACGGGGTTAAGAGTCATCTTTTTAAGATGGATAGAAGAAATCACTGTGCACTTGTGTGCTGGTTAGAATGGTCTGGTAGAGGCAAAGCTGATGATGCAGGAAAGAAGGAGGATATTGCTAAAGAGATGTCCTTGAACGAGAAGGAAGACAGGAACTTTTAGTGATGTGCTAGAGCTGGTGGTTCAACACAGCTGTTATTAAATATTGAATTACATAAATTACAATGAAATACATTATATTTTTGAAAGTAATAAATATCCCAAACTCATCCCTTCCTCATTACGTTACTACGTTTTTCCATTATCTATGTTACTGTGGTTTTCTGTGGCTCTTGTACGTGAATGGTGGAAATACAAGATGATGGCGTGCTCCTGGCTTCTCTGCCTGACCCCACTCACTCACTCAACTGCCAAACCTGATGTCAATTGCCCATTTATGCTTAGTGACATCACGTTGATAGCTCCAAACATGGCAGGAGTATTTACACAACAGAAATCAGCCACCCTTAGAAATCAGGGCTTTGTTTGGTTTGTTTTTTAAAAGAGAGCTGTTTGTTAAAACATTTGTCAGGCCACCTCAGGATTCCATGGACGAGGAGAGAAACTGGATTCAGACTAAGGGCTGAAAATTCATCCCCAGGAACAGGAGGGAAAGGTGGGCCTTTGAACTGGTGCGTAGCTAGGTGTGGTGGAGAGATGTTACTTATTTACTAAATGAAAAAGAAGCAAGATAATGACCTAAGTATAAGGCTGGGCAAGCAGGTGTTGGAGGTTTGAGGTGAGAGGAGTATGGGAGAGTAAGTAGATTAGAGCAATTTAGTATTTTAGTAGCATATTTGGCACCACTGAAAGTCTCCTTGAGGTTCGTGGATATGAATTTAAAAAGAGGCCTGTCACCGTGGGTGTGCCTTTTCCGCCAGCCTCTTTCAGTGCTCGGGTGGGGCAGGAAGAGGAGAGGCAGATTTATCCAAGGCTAGGGTGTAGCCAGGCCCGTATGGCTATGCATGGCCAGGGCAAGCAGGAGAGATCATAAAACCATAAATGCAGAAGTCACCACCTCAGAGACCTTCCATGTTCTCCTAGCTAAAATCATGCCCTAGCCCCTGTAACTTTAACCCATTATTCTGCTTATTTTCCTATCTTGTCGATTGGGTGTGAAATCTGGCTCATCCACCCGTAGGACAGCAGGGATGATGTCTTATTCAGTGCTGAACCCCCTGTGCCTACCACAGTGCTTGGCACAGAGTGGTCGCTCAGTAACATGTTGACTAATTTACCGAATTCACAGATGAACCTGCTCACGTCCGTGGGCTGCAGTCAAGAGCACTCACATTCTTTTTGTACCCTTTGGTTCCTTGCTCCGTGGTGTTTAACCTTTTGTGAGCAAAGGACGTTCCCTACAGAGCTGGATGCGCTAAACCACCGTTCTGCATTTCCTGAGGCCCAACCCCAAGCCTCGGAGGCAGCTTTCCCGCCCCATCGGTCGGGTGCGTAAAGCTGGCCTTTGTCACACCGGAGTTTACGCGTTATTGCTTTTTTTCAGTGCAGGCGACAGCCGTTTAGGGCTCAGTCTGTGACTCCAGGCGGGGATGAGCTAAAAGCACAAGCCCCAAAGTCCAAGGCTCCCAGGGTGCGGCGCGGCGGCCGCGGCCGGGAGGGGACAGGGGACAGGGGACGGGGGCCGCCCGCGCTGGGGCAGGTGCTCAGGGCGCGCTCCCGCCGCCGCCGCCCTCCCCCGCAAACCCAGACGGTGGCGGCCGCGGGCGGGGCGGGACCTGCTGTGCGCTTCTCCCGGCGGACAATAAAGTTTCGCAAGTTTGAAGAAGGCGAGGAGAAGGTGCACGCCCCTGCGACTGCCGGCCGTGGGCGCCCGCGGGCCTCGCCGCAGCCGGCAGCCCCGCGCTGGCGGGGGCGTGGCGGGCGCGGGGATGGGGGTCACGGTGGACGTGCGCCAGGTGTACAAGTACCCCTTCGAGCAGGTGGTCGCCAGCTTCCTCCGAAAGGTACCGCGCGCCCTGTGGCCCGTGCGGGGTCGCCTCCTCCCCGCTGCCTCCCCGCGCCCGCGCCCGCGCCCGCTGCCCGCCGCTCTCGCCTGCGGGTCCACGCGGACATTCGCGGCGACCCTCTCCCTCCAGCCGCGGGGGTCGCTTCGGGGACGTGCGGGGCGAGGGGGGACGTGGATTTCCTCGAAGTCTCCCCTTCCAGGGTGAGGGACAGGGCGCCGTGCTTGGCATCACGTCCACAGCCCGCCGCAGCCGAAGGGAGAGGCTTTTTAGAAAGTGCTTCAGGGAAACCAGGTTCTCCCGAGAGCCCCGCCGCGGCTGCGGATGACTGGCTGCTCCATCTTTCTGGTTCTCCACCGACCCCTTAAAAGCTGGTGGGGGCCGTTGAAGCCATCGTCCTGGTTTACTCTGCACTGTCGCTCCACTGCCCACCGCTTTCTCTTTCCTCGAACAGCTGGACAGGTTACTTACCCTCTCTGTACCTTAGTTCTGTAATCTATACAATGCGGAAAATAATAGTACCAACTCATGGGATGGTTGCGAGGATTCAAATGAGATAATTCATATAAAGTGCTTATCACAGCTGTCGACCTAAAGGAAAAAACAGCCCAAACTAATATAAGCAGACACAGTTTATTTGGGCTGAGTTTGAGGACTGCAACCCCGGAGCATGGAGTCAGGTTGCTCCGAATACAGCTCTGATTAGCAGCAGTTACGAGTTACAGTTTTTAAAGGAAAAGATGAGGCAGATCCTAAGTTGTTTACTAAGAATTTACACAAAAATAAAATAACACAAGCCATTGATTGGCCCTACATTGTGTTCTGGGTCACAAAGTTCAGGGACTGAAGATGATGGGCGAGGCAGCAATTGCCACCAGGCGTGGAGGGTGTGTGTGACCCAAGTCTCGCTTGGCCTGATAAGTTCTGGATACCTCAGCATACTTCACATGGTTCAGACTGCTCCGAGCTACTTTTCTTTTCTCACAGAGACTGATGTTAGTAAGGGCTCTCTAAAAAAACACTATTGATGTTGTTTGTACTACTACACCTAATTTCAGCACAGACATTGAACCCTGGCCTCAAATACTCAGTGGTCCTCTTTCATCCCGAGGGCTGCTCCTAGGACTGTGGCTTGTGATAATAGGAAAATGGAAAATTTCTTTGAAAAATCGAAAGCACCCGGTCCTGGGAGGTGGGGCCCCTGGACTCTGATCTGGCTCTGTGTTTAGTTAGTTCTATGGGTGACGTTGGCCATGGGTCCTCTCTCCAGGCCTTAGTTTCTTCTGCATCTATAACACAAAGGTGTGTCTCAGAAGATCTTTTAGGTTCTCTTTCAGCTTTCACATTCTTAAGCCAGATTTGCAAAAACTGCAGTTTGCCTTGGGCAGCAGTCACTGGACATTGAACTCCATATGCAACCTGGAAGCCAAGCTAAGGGAGATGCTGGGGAGATGAAGATCATTTGTTAAATGAAAAGGCCTGGCCTCTATTAGAGGAGGTGACACAGTTGGGGACCCTGATCACAGGAGTGAGTAGGACACTGGTTAACATGGTGCTGCTATGGAGGCCTTTTTTAGAGGGAATGTCAGCTTGTTGATACTATTCGTTGATCTTAGTATCTAAAATAGTGCCTAGTACTTCCTCGGGACTCAAAAATCTGATGAACGACTAAATGAATGAAAGAATGGATTATGGATCTGATGTAGACTTAGCCTTAGACAAGGCTTCTGGGCCCAAAAAAGTAACAGCCAACACCCCATATTTTGTTAGAATTGGCTCCTTTGGAAAGTCTGGATTGTCATCATCAAGAGGCTATCTCTGCCTTCTCACAATTCTCAGGTCACTCTGTCTAGGTCTCACTGACCAGCTACAGGGTCAGATGGTTAGTTCTGTACATATCTTGTTCCCCCACTGGACTCTAAGCTTTTTTAAGGCAGGACTTATTCCCGCAGAAACACGTAGCACAATGCCAACCTCTCATTTATAGAGTACTCAGCATATGTCAGCTTCTGGTAAATGGTTTTCTTTCATTCATTCTGTTATAGATAATCCTTATCGTCTGTGTGCCAGGCTCTGTGCTAGGAGCTAGAAAAACACAGGAGGGCGCCACAGACAGACCCTCTTCTCATGAACCTGAATAGGAGTTCCTAGGCAAGCCAGGTGTGTGTGTGCTTGCTGTACTTTATCATGTTTACTCCTCCTAGCAGCCTAAGGAAGTAGTTATGATTGACTTCCATTGCACAGTATAGAAAAACAGAACCAGAGAAGTCTAAGCACCGTTCTCAAGCTCTTACGGCTAGCAGGTAGGAGAGCCAGGATTTCAACACATCTGAATCCAAAGCCTACACCCTTAACCACCAGGCTGTGCTGCATTGCACATAATAGGCACTGAGATGATTATTGAGGGATTAAAATTTCAGAATCAACTTTGTTGTACTCTTTAATCAATCTCAGTTTCCTTTTGTCCACAGTCTTCTCTTAGGGTTTACTTATTGGACCCATTGGGCCTCATATAAAGGTATAGCTTTGATGTGTGTTAGGGTGAGAGCATGGATTCTTTAAATTATCCATTGCTACGTAACAAATCACCCCAAAACTAAGTGGCTTAAACCAATGACATGCTTTTAATTCTCATGATTCTGTGAGTTGACTAAGCTTATCTGGTTGGTTTTTGTGTGCCATGTGGTGTAGCTGAGGTCACTTATGTAGCTGCATTCAGTTAGAATCTGGTATAATTCTTATAAAATACTTAGCAAAGTGCCTGGCAGTTAGGGAATAAGAACTAAGGAGGACATTTTGGAAGACAAGACTGGGGAAAGGAGAGACAAACATTTGCAGACTGAAGGTCTAGCAATGGGGACGGTGTTAATGCCACGGATGAGACTACATTTCCTTTCTTTCTATTCATTCACAGAACAAACCTTCACAGATTCTCTGGGAGGAGCTATGCAACTGTTTATAAGCTGTCAATAAATCCATTTGCTGTGTGAATTCTCTCCTTTTGTTGTTTAAAGCCATGAACTGGAAGCCAGTACAAATGGATTCTGATCATTGTGCTTTCCCTGTTAGGTTGGGTGGCTGTAGGAAACAGTCTTCACTGTCCTATGTTTTGTCCTTGTACAAATTAGAAAAGGCATCATTTAGGGGATCTACACCATGAGCTCACAGTACGTAAGGCTAGCGGAAAATAAATGGGGCTATTTATGCAAATTAGAAAAAGATGCTTCTTCCTGTAGGTGGATGCAGCCCTTGGCTAACTGGCCCACTTGATTGGGAGCCCTTGTGCAGTGAGCGTCATGCACAACTGCATAAGACAGCCCTAATTTCTCATCTGTGAAATGGTAATGCCACGTACTCCACCTACCTCCCAGGGTTGTTGTGAGAATATCAAATGTGTAACAGTTTGAAAAATATAGCTTTTTATAAGCCTAAGGTAGTAAGAATTGTCTTTTTGGCAAAATATGCTTTTATTTTTCTTTTGCTCTTTATGTAGTTTTTTGAAAGAAAAGCATTTGGCAGAAGGGACAATCATATGAGGATCTCTGGGAAGCATTTAATCTGATTTTGCACAATGGTATGTTTGAAGTTGCTTTAGCACTGAGGAAGTTCTATTTTAAATCGAATCTACTGATCTGTGGATTTTGGTATGTTAGGACTTGCCTTCCAAGTTATAATATACTACTGTTTTTAAAACCTGAAGAATGTTTGCTCTTCTTACATCTGCCTGTTAGATACCACAGGCAAAATATTAGCTGCCTGCTTTCAAAGCTAAGTGGCACCTTGAAAACAAACAATACAATACTCTTTGTTCATGGAATGTAGTGTTTCTCAGTGAACTCTTCATGGAGCAATGCTATGAAACACCCAAATGGTTTATTCATTGGATATTAAACTGTGCACTTTCTAAGAACTATAGAGTCAACTATAGAGTATATTTTGGTTTCTTCCTTTGTATGACTTAGCTTTTTAGCTCTCATCACTTACAGTGTTTTCTTTCTTTTACTTAAAATTACCTGCAAGGAGAACACAAAGTTGTGTAGATGAATGTTGCAGTGTAGAAGACAGGTCTTCTCTGGAAGCTTGCATAGGCCTTTTTCATGGGCTTGCCTTCTATGAGCTGGCTTCAGAAAGAACTTAAATTTCATCTACTTGAAATTTAAAGTCATTAAAAAGGACCCAGAGAGCCATTGTGTTGACTGGATTTTCTTGTTTATATTTAAATGAGGCCAGAGAAGTTATGGTTTTCTTACCATAGGGTTATTCAGGATAATTTTCTTTTCATGCTGTAGGCAAAAAGTCATTGTGAATAGAGTGTAAGCTTTGTGGGTAATGATTTTTGTCATTTGTTTCTGATGTATCCCAAGTACCCCAGGAGATCCTGGAACATAGTCGGTATTCAGCAAACCTTTGTTGAATGAATGAATGAAACATGGTCTGCTGGGGAGAAGCCCTATGTAATTTCAGACTGAAGTCAGCGTAGAGTTCAGAAACATGTCCTTACTTTGGGTACTGTAATAAAATGGACAGATTAAAATAATTTCTTTGCTTCAGCAGACTGACCCTGGGTGTTATTTATTCTGGCTGGGAGCCTGATGTGCTGAATGAAATGGTTTGAATGTTTACCCTTAAGCTCATAAAGGGGATTTATGAATGGCTATTTCCATTTAGAGTAGAAAGTTGATTGGGTAATTAATAATGTTTCCATTTCTGATCCTGTCTTTTCTCCCTTGCAAATCTGATATGTGTGTGGAACATCTCTCCCTGCAGAGCTCCAGAAGTATTTGGGGGTGAACCTGCATTTCTAAAATAAATGATTTGATAAACCGTAGGCCTAGTTTAACATAATGGTTTTTGTTTTTCACATGCTGTACTAGTCTTTCTTCACTTTTATCTTCCTGTCCTCAGTTCTACTAGAAGATTAGGCATGGCAGGAAGGAGAATGGTGCAGACGTGCAGAACATGGGCTCAGGCATCAGATGGGGCGGGGAGACGGGGAAGGG